GGGGGGGGTGTTGTGTACGCAACACGGCCGTCCCACATAATGTGGGAAACCTGTGGCGTAGCGCACGGAGGACCCATTAGACGTTAGTCTGCACATTATGCAGAGTGGCACGATCACCATCCATTATTATTAGTTGAAGGGGGAAAAAGGAGGGGAGAACAGTGAGGTATTTTAAGGAGCAAGGTATAGTTAGTGTTAGTTGGTTAGGTGTTAGGAGAGGGACAAGTCCCAACCGTAGGGGGGGTGCACGCCCTAAAGCGCGCTTTTCGCCGCTTAGCACCCATAGCAGCTCATCAGAGGGATTAGCTTAGTAACAGCTCCAGTTAGCATATGGGTTGGGTGGGAGGTGAGAGGGGTATGAGTGAAGGTGGGGTGTAAGGTAGTGCAACAGGGTTTTCTGTTAACGATTCATACCTGAGGAGTCATGGTAGGTGTGGCTGCGGAATCAGTTGCCGCCATCGCTCGTAGCGAATCTCGTGCAGCGCAGAGTTAGGTAGCTCGCACACCAACAGGGTGGACAGTTCACCGTACACGTGCTGCAGCTTGCTCAGGTACGGGATTAGCTGTGAAGTTGCATACCCGTGTGTAAAGAGAGTAGGAGGATGGGCACAGCAGGAGGTCTTAGTGGCAGGGTTCTGAGGATAGAGCGCAAGTGCCAAGCATTGCAAGTCTGCGAATAGCAGTTCCCGTCTGCGTGGGCATCCGCTGCATTGTGCGTGTATTTGCGAGCCATATATTCTGAAGTACGCTATGCGGAGTCTGTAAGCTCTTGGCCTTGCAGGGATGGAGTAGGAGATAGGAAATAAGCGAGGCTTCATTTTGGTAGGGTCAAGACTGGTTCTTTCGTGGGAGGGGGGGATGGGGGTGGTGGATATCTTTTTTGAGTTGCTACGTGTATAGGCAGAAAAAATGGGGACATTTGCATGCATATGGGGGCGTATTGCTACATACATGGGTCGCAGGGGGTGGGAGTATGTACGGGATGGGTCGTCTGCTTATCGTATTTGTTGTCGGGATGCTGGAACTTCTTCCGTGCTTGTTTTTACTGCAGCAGCATGTGCAAGATGTGGGTTCTTTTGTCGTTTTGGGAGGTGGACTGGCTATGGCGGCAGATGGGAGCAGCGTGGTTTGTCTGTCTTATTTGCGTGTCCGTTTGTCTTGCGTTCTGTCAGGTCCGTCGTTTCGATGTAGTGCCCTGCGACTACCAATTTCGTATGTGTTCCGTACGGTGTTCGAGTGAGGAGCGTGCTGGGTTTTTACTTGTGTGAGCTTAGCTTTAGTTTTTTTGTTCGTCGCCTAGTTTTTTGCATCAGTAATCATTTTTCCTGACCCATAACTTGTACGTAGGCAGTGGTTTGCATGGTATATTGTTGCTTGTTTTTATTATCTGTACTGTATGTGTTAAATTGATAATTGTCGAAAAGTCCGCACCAGGTGTGGAAGCTTATTTTCCGTCTGTGTTTTTCATATGGGGTGAACCTTGCTCTTTCAGTTTGGAGAGATTATGACACTATTACTTGGTTATTTTGCAGCTAAATTTTCCTTAATAGTATATTGAAAAGGTTTAAAGTTCCATTTGCTTTTATTTTTATTTTTATTTTATTTTATAATATTTTTTAACTTTTTTTATTTTTTTATTATTTTTTATTTTAATTTTTGTTTTAGATTTAATTTTATAATTTATTTTATTTTTTTATTATTTTAATTTTAATTTTATTTTTGTTAATTATCTTTAAATTTTTATTTTTTATGTATATTATTATTATTTTATTAAAAAAATGATTTTATTATATCATTATTACTATATTATTATTATTTTTTAATAATAATTATTTCTATAGTGAATACGTGTGTGTGTGTGTGTGTGTGTGTGTGTGTGTGTGGAGAGCGAGCGAGCGAGAGAGAGAGAGAGAGAGAGAGAGAGAGAGAAACGATAAGTCTCCAACCTTGACCAACAGCTAAGTCTCCAACCCGCGCCTCGCCGCTCGATAGAATGAGCAAATCGAAAAGTGGCAGTGTATATTTCCACGTTTCAGTGGAAGATTCATTCCGTTTTTGCTCATCCTATCGATGGAATGTGTGTGTGTGTGTGTGTGTGTGTGAGAGAGAGAGA